CGCTGCGGTTTGGGTGGACAAGAAAATATCTCCGAGGGCAAGGTTTCCAGGGAACAAATTGGTTTCCATGTTTTCATTTTCTATAAATACCATGGGCACAAACACTTCCATTTGCACTTGGTAATTTAAGGGCAAGAATATTCACTGAAAACAAATATGTAGATGGAGCATTTTTTTTCATGACAACCTGAAACAGGGCTTTTGTTTCCATTTGCTCAGATCCCAGTAGCAGCTGAGATGCTGGCTGTGGTACCAGACACTGGTAATAACAGCTCCCCACACCAGTACATGCACCAACAGCAAAAGGTAAACCTTTGCACCTCTGCTTGCTTCTCCTGTCCAAAACAGGGGCACAACTTCTGCTCTTCCTCTTCTTCCACCTCCTCCCCATAACCATGGGGTGCCCATCCTGTCCCCTACCCATTGCTGCTGGGCTGGGCAGAGCCTTTGGGCTTGGGTCCATGTCCCCGCACCATGATCAGAACCTGCTGCTGCTCTCCAGTGAAAACCCCTTCCCATACCGGTGAGTGGGGTGCACAGCATTGTTTGAGAACACATGGCTATATATACCACATGGTTATATATGATATAGAAAGATTGGTAGGACAAGGGGCAATGGGTGTGAGCTGGAACACAGGAGGTTCTGCCTAAACTTGAGAAAAAACTTCTATACAGTGAGGGTGTTGGAGCCCTGGAACAGGCTGCCCAGGGAGGGTGTGGAGTCTCATTCTCTGGAGACATTCAAGACCCGCCTGGACACCTTCCTGTGTGATCTCATTTAGGTTCCTGCTTTGGCAGTGGGATTGGACTGGATGGTCTTTTGAGGTCCCTTCCAATCCCTAATATTCTGTGATACTGTGATTAGAGAAGTCCTATTACTGTAGCAATGTGCTAGGGTGAGGCATTGTGTTAGAGCACACAGGATAACCACTAGGTAGTGGTATCTAAAATGAGAGCTGTAATTTAAGCTTTTGTTCCAATATGAAGAGGGAAAGCATGTGCTGTGCTTAGACTCGCTAAAATAATGATTGTTTAATTATAGATCCTATTGTGACATCCTGTGGCTAAAGATAGTATTACAGATACTGTCAAATCACTATTTGGACCACAACTGTGTAAAATTAGAGCTATATGGAATTAGCAGGGGTAACTCAGACCTCCCAGACTTACACGTTCAGTTTGGTCAACTACAGCCTTCCACACAACTTTGATCATTCTCCAAAAACTTCTCCTGGATAAGCAGAAATCACACTGAACCAATCATGAATATGGGATAACACACATTTTTGGGTGTGTTTGCCCAAAGTTACATTATCTCTACCCTTTCTGCTAAAATGCCTACAAGTCAGTATGTTGGTTGTTTACGTGCTGTCCCTGTGAAGGACCATAAATCCACATTTCTTTTTTTAGGTAGTATTTGTACTCTAAGGATTAAGCCTCACCAAAGAGAGACAACTGCAGCAGACCTCAAAGTTGTATAAAGCATAAGCATTAACTGCACTTATGCTCACATCTCTTAACAGTTAAATATTCTTAAATATTATTTTTCCCAGGTCAAGGAACACAACAGTCTCTGCTACACAAGATACTCACCCTCCCACCTCAGCAAAACAGCACTGGGCACTCACAGCTGCAGGTGATTCAAGGGACTGCAATTACCCTTCAGTCAGTCCTAAACCAACACTCCAGCCCACCAGCCCCAGTGTGCAGAGGAACAGCTCCAGTGACACATGAAATTGAGGTCTTGACCCCCTGACATCATCAGTAAGCCTTGGCATTTTTCTCACAATTAGCTGGATGAGAGGTCTACTTAGATCCCAGCTGGGGAATTAGCATTGTTCATTAACAGCACATTTCCATTTCATCAACCTACAATATTTCAGGCCTCACACTAAGCAGCTGGATATTCATGCAGTTTTAAAGAGCCCAGACAGCTGATCAAGATAATAGATGGAGCATAGCTGTTATGTCTTCACTTGTTTAAGCTTTTCAGGAAGACAACACTGTATTTTGGCTTCATTCTCACTACATGGGACACAAACAATTAATACTGCTTTCTCTGGCTTCCTTTTTACCCCAACTGCAAAAAAAATACCCATGCAAATCTAGGCTTCTACCTAAGGGGTAATAAATTATGAAGAGTTATACTGTGCATACCCCTCTGAGCACTAGCCTTCAGGGAATTGCTTAGGGAAGGTCTAGAAAAATGAGGTATGGCTTTATAAATCAAACACTTCAATGACATTAAGAAACCAAGAGGCAGCTTATATAAAACTGGCTTCATGTTGATGTATGTTGTTTGTCAAGCAGAACGCTGCATTGTGTGCCAGTTCATCTGCAAAAGGAATGAGACACATGACAATAGCTTGTATTTCAGACTTTCACCTTAGGAAACGCATAGTTCAGACTTAGCATGACCTAAGCAAAGCTGGCTGTGTTTCATACTAATTTTAGTCTTCTTCCTACCACCATTCCCCAGTTTCCCCACAAGTATTTTTCATAGTATTACAGGTCTTATTCCAAATATAGGAACAAATAAAGTTGGCTTGGAAAGGGTGACATTTTATTGAATACATAAAACATTATGATACAAAAATAAGTTAACTGCATAGAAAATTTTAAAGAGCTATAGAATTAGATTAGTAGACAGAGGTTTGATCCGGGTGTGAAGAGCCTCCACTATCTGCATCTGGAAGACATAAAAATGCATTGAAAGAGTTACACAACTAAAACTTTCACAGAATCACAGAATATTAGGGATTGGAAGGGACCTCAAAAGATCATCCAGTCCAATCCCCCTGCTAGAGCAGGAACCTAAATGAAATTACACAGGAAGGCGTCCAGGTGGGTCTTGAATGTCTCCAGAGAAGGAGACTCCACAACCTCCCTGGGCAGCCTGTTCCAGTGCTCTGTCACCCTCACTGTAAAGAGGTTTTTTCTCAAGTTTAAGAACCTCCTGTGTTCCAGCTCACACCCATTGCTCCTTGTCCTGTCATTGGGCATCACTGAGAAGAGCCTGGCTCCATCCTCCTGACATTTGCCCTTGACATATTTGTAAACATTAATTAGGTCTCCCCTCAGCCTCCTCTTCTCCAAGCTAAAGAGCCCCAGCTCCCCTCAGCCTTTCCTCATAAGGGAGATGCTCCACTCCCTTAATCATCTTCGTGGCTCTGCGCTGGACTCTCTCAAGCAGTCACAAGACAATAAACCATGGCAGGGAAGGGCTTGGGCCATTTAAAGTCAGACACTTGTTATACTTCCCTCAGCATTCTGAGGACACACCATTTTCCCAGAACTTGCCCAAGCCTCACAGTGAGCAGGGGGCAGAGCAGCCTGCTGTTACAACAATCTGATGTCCTAACGCTTGTGTCTATACAGCTATTTCAATCACTACAGTACAGAGAAGAAAAGCTTCACTTGTGCTATCAGAACCACTCTACCATATTCCCAACACAGATCAAAGGTCAACTACCAGCTCTAGAGCAGTCAGTGGTATGACAGTGGCACTCCTACATCATGTTGACACAAGACTATTTTTAAATAAGCCTGTTCGCCTTTTCTCATTCTACAGCTTATACCTGTTGTGCTGACGGCTCCCGTTAGATGGCACTCCAATGGCTCCTGTTGGCTTGAAGGCAGTTTGAGAGGCTCTCATCAGAGCTGCGTATCTACAAAGAAAGACAACCAGGCTGAGCACCTCTTAGGGACACTGCCAGTAGTTTCACTCTTCCATCCAGTTTAATTATCTGCATCTATCACCCAAGTCTTACAGTCCTATTGCTCAGAACAAGGAAGATACATCTGCCTGCAAGAGACAGATTTTTATTAAAACCAAGTTTAAACTTTGCTTGCCAAGGTATTGATTTTGTTGTTACTTCAAGGTGCTGGGAAAATCTTTAGGATTCTCATATTTAGACCAAAACCCCAAAGAGTCTTTGAGATGGCCAGTGTCTATTCACAATTAAGAGACACTGAGAGTCACACTATCAGGACAGGTAGGCTTGGAAGAATTTTAGGAAGGCATTTGACAACAAGCTTTTACCTTGGCTCACACATTTTCAGAAGTTAGGCCAGCAACTATTTTATTGAAGTGACCAGCAGTTTACAGAACTCCCTGTCTGTCTGAGCTCCACCCCGATCCTCAATACTAGGTCTAAAAATTTCAGCTTGAGCTCAAAGTATCTTAAATCCATCTTACCCTGCCTTGGAGGTGGGCTGGCTGCTCCCTTTACAGTTGTGATCCAGAGGATGCCGATGTTTTATGCAGAAGTTGCCACCGCACTGTTCACAAACTACCTTCATCATCTCTTTCCTTTTGCAGCCCGGCTTTAAGCACTTGTTTGTGAAGATCTAAACAACAGAGGACATGAAGTTGGCAACTCTTGCTTGCTTTCTGTGGTCAGCTTCCCAAGTAACGATGAAGCTGAAGCACAAATGCTCAAGCGCCTGTAGAATTAAGATGGAACAGAGCAAGCTTCTAGACGTTCTGCTCTCAGGAGACCGAGCTTCACGAGCATTAGGCAGGCGGTTTAGATTTCAACAGCAGTTTCCTTACCCTTTGCTTTTGCTGTGCTGGATTGTATTTGCAGTCCTTATCCATGTGGGCTCCAACCACAATATCTGGTATTTCCCCCTTCTGAACCGGGATAGGTGCATTACAGAGTGGACACACTGGAACCTGCACATTCTAAGAACATAAAACACAGATTAGAAGTCCCACCCAGTTATTCTTTTGTCCTTCCCCTTCTCTTACCTATGGGTGATGGAATTGTATTCACAAGGGTTTTATGTTCTACTCATTTACTAATGCTTTTAAAGATATACTTCACAAAGGTAACATCAAATCATTATCCAAAAAATAATCAGACATGCTTTGCAAATCAATTTGCAGCAACATATTTGTTAAGTTGACTTTAAATAAGCTTTCTGGAATTACAGCCCTGGAACACTTCAAATCCCAAGTATGGGCCAGAAATCAATGTTTGGCCTCACTTATTCTATTTATTTTCTCTGTAGTTTCATATTTGCCATCTTTCCTCTTAAAAGACAGAGCCTACAAAAATACCTAAAATATACTAAAAATAGCTAAAATATAAAGCACCTCTCTGGGAAGATATGGTGTAAGTAAAAGAAACTAGAATCTAGCAGTACTGGCCGCAGAAATATTGTTTTTATGTATTTGAAATTCAGCTGTATCATTAACTTACATCTTGTGGTTCTCCCATCTGCTTTTATTTAAACCACAGGTCAAGTTTCAGAGCAGCCTGTATATATGACTTAGCAATTCTGCAGTGTGAACAACTGACTCACGTACAGGAACTTACTTTCTTGTAGGCAGAGCTACACTTGTGGTCATCATAACGGATGTGATCTTTACAGAAGACTTCCCCACAGGCATCACACTTCAGAGGAAGGAAATCTGGGAAAATAATAAAAAAGGAAAATGGATTTTCATGGAGCAGAGTAACAGTTGTAAGAGTACTTCCAAAAAGACTCCAAATAAATTCTAATGCAAATTTTTGTCTAGTCACAATCCAATTATCTCTAGAGAAAGCGTGTCATTCTTCATGAATATTAAAACTAAGACAGTAAGAGCGATAAGTTTTCCCTCATTATCCACAGTGTTGGACTGACAGAAGCCATAAAACCCACGGTGTGGGACGAAAAAAAGCCATAAAAACCTCAGGAGCCTTTTGAATACAGAAACGCTTTGTGAGGCATTAGGAGCTGAAGCACAAATCCAGAGCCCAGACTCAACGGTGTTTTTATCCTTTAAAGAACGTCCCTTAGCAGTTTAACAACGTAAGAGCAAACCGCACTGTGCTCAGCGATGACTCTCACCGGACCGGTGTCGCGGCTACACCAGCGGCCCCGGTACCCCGGCGCCCCCGGTCCCCGCCGCTCGCCCTTCCGCAGAGCCCGGCTGACCGGGGACACTCGGGGTACGGGACCGGCCTCCCCAGGACACAAACCACCCACCCCTCGGAGTGCTGCTGGGGGGAGCCCGCCCACCTCCCGGCGCAGCCCCCGGTGCCGGTCCCCGCTCACGGCTCCCTTCGGGCAGCACCGAGCCCCCAGCCGAGGGGGAC